TATATATATATATATTCATATATGCTATTTAACTATTGATCCAGTAAATTCTAATTTGTGACTAAATGACAAATGAGAGGATATTGTCTTTAAGATAACATTTATACTCTAATATATTCCAATTCAATCCAAATTCGCTGAGATAATATTACAACAGTCGCTGGATCAATCGTCGGGACGTTCTTGACTTTAAACCGATTGTGCTTGATTTAACATGCGATGCACCTTGATCGTTGTCTCTTTCGTGTTTCGCATTTTTAAAAAATTGCGTTCTTTTTTTTTTTTTTTGGTAAAACAGCCGCATAGGCCTCGGAATGAAGGTGGCGGCGGAGGTGGCGGCGGCAGGCACAAGAAGCGCGTAAGACAACCGCACAATACGAGGGAACGGCAACGGCAACTGGCTGTCGGCCACGGCGAGTATATCATGCCGACGCAGACGGTGCAGTATAGGGCGCCGCATAATGTGCAGCCCGGCGATGACACGCTACTGGGAATGGTGATGACGGATCCTAGGCCGCCCAGGCCTAACAGTATCGAGCTCAGGCGAAGTTACCCCCCGGAAGAGCAACATCTCTACAGCCCGCCGTCTTCCGACTACAGGTGAAAATATCGCGATAATAATAATGCAATTAATAATTTTAAAATAATACACATACACATAGATAAATTAATAATCAGAATAATATTTTTATAATTTACTCGTACTTTTAATTTTGATTTTTACTTTTTTCTGTTTTTACTTTTGACTTTAGATTTTTCTATAGATTTGTAGCGCTTTGTACAATAATTATTCGTTTTCTCGCTGCAGGGCAACGAACTACATAGCTCAAGGCTACGATGAAAACTCGTACGGATCGCATTATGCTCCGGGTCAGGTGCCGGCCGGCAGCGAAACGTATCAGAGTCCTGGCGGTCAGAGCACTCCGAGCCGTGGCGGCAGATCGCGGCCATCGCAGCCGCCACCGGCGCCACCGAGTAATGCTTCTAGCAATTCTACGCCCACGGTAGCGTCCGCCAACAACACTCCCACTAGGGGAAGATCCATGAGCACCGGTAGAGACACTCTACCACCGCCGCCCCCACCGCCAGGAGAAACCATGTCTCCTCCTTCCATGAACGGTATATTAATTATCATTCTTAATTCGTCGCAGTAGTTATATTTGAAGAAGCAAATTCTTGATTTTTAAAAATAATAATTACTAATTGAGAACTTACATTTAGCACGATCTTTATTAATATGTATTTCAGGTTCCATACCATCGCACTTGCTGAATAGGAACGGAAGTCGAACGGATAGTCCTCTACCGAGTCAACGCTCGACACCGACGCCGCCGAACCATTCGGGCCAGTTGGGCGTGGACGAAACCGACCCGGCACCCCAGGATCTTCCGCCGCCTCCGCCTACTCCGGATCCTACCCCTCCGAGACCCATCTCTCCTCCATGCAACATTCCGCCACCACCACCGCCGCCTCCCCCTCCGCCGGTTGCTAACGGCCCAACGGCGCCGTTGCCACTTACGAATGGCGACATCGCGAAAATGATCGCGACCAATCCGCCGAAGCTGAAGCCTCTGAAAAGCATTGTGGACGGTCAATTGAGGAAGCCTGTCAATCCAAATATTCCACTGGTCGATCCGCGAAACGATCTGCTCAAGGCAATTCGCGATGGTAATTTATCTCTGTTTTTATGATTTTTGATACAATCAAGAATAAAATAAATTATCTCTTTAGATTTTTTACAATCTTGATATCGGATATATATTACGAATATATCAGTACGCGCGTAGATTGTAAGAATTAATACTACTTTATTCTAATGCGATCGCCATCCTTCACAGGGATAAAGCTGCGCAAGGTGGAAAAGATCGAACAGAAGGAGGTGGAGCGCGTGAACGCGCTCAACGATGTCGCATCCATCCTAGCACGTCGCGTTGCCGTCGAATTCAGCGACAGCGATTCGGCATCGGAGAGCGAGTGCGACAGCGAAGGATGGGGCGAACAGGAGAGCAGCAATTTGGCGTGACCCAACTCCCTTCAATCCGCCGCCGCCGCCGCTACTGCCTCTTAAAGAAATGGCCGATAATTCTTTCGTTTCGACATGTCATCTCAATGTGCCCCGTCGTGCTGTAGCGAGCTGATCTATTTGGTTCGTTTATTATCTTTATGACCAATTGTTCATTTTTGAGGATCTGCGAAACGCTCACACATTAATTTAAATACGCGTTGTATATTTAAAAGTTGGATAGCCTTCAGAATTGTAGACCGAGGTAAATTCTAAGTTATAAGGTTACAAACTTCCTCTCAACAGAGATCATTTGGCACAAAGGATACGTCGCAATGTAAAGGTCTTATATACATTAATTTATTATCGTTTATCGAACAAACAAAAGCAATACATTTTAGTTTTTAGTATATTCGCTTCTTTTCTCGTGTTATTAATATGAGACAATTTAAGAGACATTTGCATTACATTTGATTATTGGTTTATTAATTTTTTACATTGGAAGCAATTTATTAAAAAATATTTACTTTGAAAGGGATGAAAGGATTCAAATTTCTGAACAAAATTTTTTTTAGACGAATCTCCAAATTTTGATGATTTTATGGAATTGTCGTCAATCATAGCATCATCTTTCTAAGTTTTACGAGTCAATCTGCAATATTGAATGAACTGGCGAGTCAACCAATGGACATAGCAATAGCATTGTTTAATTTAATCATTCTGTCCTTAGAACGTTCTCGAGGACGCGCCAATTGTGGCCAATTTAATCGCGAGCGTAGCTTTCACCGAATCGCGATTCGAGTTTCGAATGGGAACTCGTGAGCTTGCAAGAGCATACGATGCCAAGCTCACGCCCTAGTTGATAACAGAATTCGTAGATGCTGTTGATCCAGGTTAGAAAATCTTGGATAAACAGGGAAATCCTGAAAACAAAACGATTGACAGATTGAACGCCACGTTTTTTTGAAATTTTATACTTTGAAATAAAATATCTTGCATATTTCTTTGTGGTCAGCTCAAAAAAATAATTTAGAGATATTAATATTGAAGATTAATAACGTATATTATTATTTTTATAATATATTATTATTAATTAAGCTGCGCAAGGTGGAAAAGATCGAACAGAAGGAGGTGGAGCGCGTGAACGCGCTCAACGATGTCGCATCCATCCTAGCACGTCGCGTTGCCGTCGAATTCAGCGACAGCGATTCGGCATCGGAGAGCGAGTGCGACAGCGAAGGATGGGGCGAACAGGAGAGCAGCAATTTGGCGTGACCCAACTCCCTTCAATCCGCCGCCGCCGCCGCTACTGCCTCTTAAAGAAATGGCCGATAATTCTTTCGTTTCGACATGTCATCTCAATGTGCCCCGTCGTGCTGTAGCGAGCTGATCTATTTGGTTCGTTTATTATCTTTATGACCAATTGTTCATTTTTGAGGATCTGCGAAACGCTCACACATTAATTTAAATACGCGTTGTATATTTAAAAGTTGGATAGCCTTCAGAATTGTAGACCGAGGTAAATTCTAAGTTATAAGGTTACAAACTTCCTCTCAACAGAGATCATTTGGCACAAAGGATACGTCGCAATGTAAAGGTCTTATATACATTAATTTATTATCGTTTATCGAACAAACAAAAGCAATACATTTTAGTTTTTAGTATATTCGCTTCTTTTCTCGTGTTATTAATATGAGACAATTTAAGAGACATTTGCATTACATTTGATTATTGGTTTATTAATTTTTTACATTGGAAGCAATTTATTAAAAAATATTTACTTTGAAAGGGATGAAAGGATTCAAATTTCTGAACAAAATTTTTTTTAGACGAATCTCCAAATTTTGATGATTTTATGGAATTGTCGTCAATCATAGCATCATCTTTCTAAGTTTTACGAGTCAATCTGCAATATTGAATGAACTGGCGAGTCAACCAATGGACATAGCAATAGCATTGTTTAATTTAATCATTCTGTCCTTAGAACGTTCTCGAGGACGCGCCAATTGTGGCCAATTTAATCGCGAGCGTAGCTTTCACCGAATCGCGATTCGAGTTTCGAATGGGAACTCGTGAGCTTGCAAGAGCATACGATGCCAAGCTCACGCCCTAGTTGATAACAGAATTCGTAGATGCTGTTGATCCAGGTTAGAAAATCTTGGATAAACAGGGAAATCCTGAAAACAAAACGATTGACAGATTGAACGCCACGTTTTTTTGAAATTTTATACTTTGAAATAAAATATCTTGCATATTTCTTTGTGGTCAGCTCAAAAAAATAATTTAGAGATATTAATATTGAAGATTAATAACGTATATTATTATTTTTATAATATATTATTATTAATTATAATATATTATTATTAATCGTACAATTCTGTATAAATTCATCGATTAAAGATACAAAATTTTCTGGAACGTATAAAATAAAAAATATTAAACTAAATATATTAAATTTTTTTATGTATAATATTTTAGTATTCACTTGTATTTAGTATTTATAATTAACACATAATTCTGATTACAATAATCATGTTGCGAGGCATTCAAGCTGTCGACGGAATAAGCGTACGGAGAAAATGAACATCGACTTGCCGAAGTCGTGGCTCCCCGAATAGAGCGACTTCCTTCCCGGCACATTCCATAACGACGATGTACGGAGATACAGGACGATCGTACACTCACATAAACACCTGTAATAATAATAATAATGATAATAACGATAAAAAATAGTAATAATAATATATAAGCACATCTCTCTACTTACCCCATAGACGAGCGCTCCACGTTAATGCGTACATAACCGATAAGTCGAGTTAAACCAAAAGGTGCAGGCGTTAGGATGTACTCTCGCGAGCGAGACTATAAGATAAACTTCTTAATCTCGAAGTATGTTTCGTATTCATGAGAGTGAATCTTGAACTTTTATCCTTCTTCGTGTTTCCGAGTCACGATCTTCCATACTATGGCGCAGATAGAAACGTAGTACAAGATATAATGCGAAAGTAATCGCATCATTTCGAATATATCGAATCTTTTTTATTTCTGCATTTATTTGTTTTTTAAGCAATCTTATATTATATATGTTATTTTAGACGCATAATATATGACAATCATATTTATGACGAATATCTCAATTTTTTAAGAAAAAGAAAATCGATTTTTGTTTTTAAATATTCAAACGAGGTGACTACTTTTGCCGCATCTTCTGCGTGAAAATCACATAGTGTCGAGAAACCAAAATACTCCGTTAAATATAGAACAATATGTCTAAACGCGCGAGAAAGGATTAATATTTTTTAGCATATTCATTAACTCGATGGCGAAAAAAGACAGGAGAAAAGATATATATGCAACATATAATATATATGTTATTAACGCAGGAGCATAATTGCCAATCGGAGGGTAACGGGGAGGAAGAAATATACGATTGTGATTTATTTTGCATCGATGTTGACGAAGCATGACGACGACGATTCTAGATAAGACGGTATACATATATATACAGATATATATATATAATATTATAGTATATATAAAAAAATATTGATTGTTAAGATTGCTACGAAATCTCACGGTGGTGACGGAAAAAAAGAGCGTTCTTTCTCCGCTACTTCCAGGGGTTTCCTCGAAAATAAGGTCTGTAAATTTTCTTGTACGTACTATTGCGAATTTTCTGTAAGTAACGCGAAAATGGAGCGAGCGATTCTGTTGGACCAGATACATGGACACTCACAAGATTTGCTTGCAAACAAAGAAAACTAGACAAATCCAGAAATTTTCTGGCATTATGATATAAAGTTTTCTTAGAAAAGCTCTAATATATAGTCAATTTTGAGTTTTTCTTAGAAAATTCAGTAAAGTGAATTTTTAAAGTGTTTTATGTGCGTTTTTCCTTTATCTTATAAAATTAATGTAAATTTTTACGTTATTGTTCACCGGTTACTTTCTGGTTTTTAGGTAACTTTATTTTCTCGTCATGTCAATTTAATTGATTCGAACCACGTAACTGTAATTATATTTAACGTTTCAATTGTGTATAAAATATATTATGTGAAAGCGAAATATATGGCAACGATGTGTGTATGTACATTTACGCGAATCTATAAGAACACAGAAAGCTATAAGCTAGAATGTAATATTAATCAATTTCTACATACGAGGCTCGCTGAGGTGACAAGTGAACTGCCTGACGATTCAAGCTCAAGTTTAATTTATTTTGAAATGTGACCAAAATCACAAAGTAAAGAGAGGATTTAGATAAAACCGCAATTTCATGTAGATTAAACAAATTAGATTAATTCTATTAATCATTTTCAATTTCCGAAATTTAGATAAATATTATTCCGTCTGTATTAATTTCCTTATAACAGCCAAAGACATTTTACGAACGGATTATTACATCGTTCACTTCACAAAAATAATCGATAGACGATTTTGTTTAACTTTCTGGATATATCGTACTTTTCGTGTCAGATATCTATTTTTTATTTGATATAACATTATATACACGGGATGCACCAACAATTCTCTTGATAGTTGACAAAGATAGCTCTTTTATTACTTGTATTTTTTTTTAAATTGTGGATCGTATCCACACAGCGTATATATTCTTTCGAAATAGATTTATTAGTTTCACGGAAATATTGGCGCATCCGTTATACACGCGCAGTGCAGATTGAAATTAGACGTAAGAATACTAGACGTAAAGAATATTCTTAGCTATCTCGCCAATTTACGACACAGTATTTATCGGAAGTTTTTTCTAAGAAGAAAAAGAAGAGAGAGGATGTGTAAGACGGGGTTCTCTTTTGAAATGTAAGCTTCTCGATATCGTGCATTTATATGAACGAAATAAATGTAGCTGTCATCACTCGTCTCAAAACCGCGCTTTCCTATAAATTATTGTAAAGCCTTGTTGTACCTATGTGTCCACGGGTATTCCAAAGCTTATATAAAACGAAGTATGCTCGAGGTATATAGTCGATAAACGGTCGTCGGGATTGATCAGATCGATCTAGCCCGAGAGAAGAAAAAAAAAAAGAAAGATGATAAAGAAGGAAAGGACGGTCTCGGCTCGAATCTGTCTCCGGGAAAGATATATGTGAGCATCATTTACCCACACCGTTACAAATATACGATGGTATTATTAACAATAATAAATTTGTAGCAAATCTGTACAGAGCCAAATAAATCAAAAAGGTTTCATAAATATTTTTTAGATTTTTTTCCCGCTATCCAAATAACAAATGTATTTTCGATAATAATACCAATATAAATCGAAATAACTTTTAAATTATTTTAGAAAACTTACTGAAATTTTTAATTCTTTAATCTATATAACTTTATATCCTGTATAGTGATCTTTTAGTTTATATATATTTTAATTATTACACTTTTTTATAAATTTTATTTCGACGATATATTTCTCGGTGTTTCAGCGAGAGGATAGTTACACTGTGGGCCTATATAATAAAATTAACATTTTATTTGAAAAATCGAGACATACACAGATGCGAAAACAATGGTAGCACATTTTGATAGCACCGATAAATATAGACGTTGAAACGATATCTTAAGACTTTAGAGTGACTATGTGCGGGCTGAGATTGCTCGTTCGCGATCGATTGAGTCGCATAATTTTCTTCTTTTTCGCGGATACGCGCGATTAATTTTCTTCTTTATCACTCTTCTAAATTATTTGTCGAACAATAGCTTTCTCGTTTTATCGGTCGGAGTGATACAGGGTGCCCATAAAGTTTCCATCTATTTCTGCAAACTCAATATACTATTTATCTTTTATACAGAAACTGTCTAGGATTAAGTAGTAAATATTTAATATTTAATCAGTCGAGAAAATATTTTACAGATCAATAATATTCTGGGCATATTTCTGTCAATTTGCAAGCTCTATATCATGACTAAAAATTTATGATGCGCATAGCATTTATATTCTTCTTTCTTTATATAATAAACGTTCTAGAAATAGATGTAGATTCTTCTACAAACACACTGTATATACATTTAATATAACAGGAATTGAGTTTTCTTCTCCGACCGACGTTCCCTCACTTTTCGTTATATACTTTTATAAAGCGGAAATGTGTGGATATATAAATATATTTATACAAGGTGTATCGTAAAGCGCCGAAATCAATATATACTCTTTATCATACAACCTGTATAATGAAATCGCAGTGATCGTCCTCGTAATAGAGATAGGAAAAAGGAACTATCGAGGATATAACGAGGACTGATCTCCGAATAAGCCACCTACTCGCGAATTTTGATCCATCCTTTAAATCTCTCCTCCTCGTGCTAGTAAAATTGCTCTCTTTTTACCTCTAATTCATTTTCTAAATATATATATTCCCTTAATAGCGCTATGTACAAACGTAAATGAAGGATCAACATTGGTCGCAAGCTTGATAATGTAACGGATGAGCGAATGATCGAGTGAACGCATTGAGATAATAATAATTTTATACTCTCGCTATACATACAAAGGAATGCGATTAATCGAAATCAATAATCGTAATGAGGACCATCGTGATCGTGTGCATACGAAATATGGATCTCGTCGTAAGGTTTAATTCTGAATGCTCGACAGCAAATCGAGAACCGGTATATTTCTCGTTGAGTGTAGAAATATTCGTGGCATTTTATTATTGGCACTGGGATGCTTCCTCTTTGATTTGATTCATTTTCCGTCTCGTTCTTAAAAATTGCATTGTGTTAACGATAGAAACGGATATCGACTCTATCAACTGATATCGACTCTATCAACTAACGTAAGAAATCGCAAATATTCTCTGTTTCTCGTACAATGCTTCCATTAATTACAATATCTATTCAATTAAAATTACAAAAGCATCGATTGCTTGATTAATCGTCGCTCGATGACGCTACGACATTCTTGATGGAAACTTTCAGATTGCAAGTTCCTTTTTATGCTTTTATTTGTATATCAGTGTAAAGTGATGATGTGTTGCGAGTCTCGAGACGTTATCATTGGCACCATTATCAATCGCTCTTCTTTTCTATTAGAAATGGATCAGCCTTTTTTGTAATGTCATTTCGTTATGCAACTCGACTTAAGCTATGCTTACTATTAATAAATTGGGGATTCGTTGATCCATGGAAAAACCTTTCAGCCGAAATTATGCACGTTCTCTCTTTCTTTCTCTCTTTTGATATAAATTGAGATCATATCCAAAGGCGTCGATGTCCCTTTCGACAATATTTCGAAAATTTATTCTCTGTAATATACGCGATTAATCTCGTTTTTCTCATTTGGCACAATGTCATAGAGGTGAATGATATACTTGCGACAAAACCTTATGCGCGAGATATATTCGTCTCTTTTTTCCATGCATTTGAAGAATTACAGATATGAAAAGAATTTCACGATTATATATATTTATATTATTAAATTCATCCGATTAATAACAAGATGCGAGATTTATATATGCCATGACGAAAAGTAAGGCAAGTATTCTCTCTTAGTAAATTGATATTTGCAAACAAATGTTAAAAATTTTGATATATTTCTCGAAATTTTTTTTTAAATTTTTATATTACACAATTATAATCGGTTTTCGATAGCACGTGGGATCTAAGCGAAATTTCATAATTTGATTTATTCGATTATCGTATATCCGCTGAGAAAAAATTGTATCCTTCGTCTCTTTTCACATATATGTTATATATTAATATATATATATATATACGATAAAATTTAAACAATGCAAAGTTGAACAAAGACACAACAACGTACTCTAAATATTACTTTCCGTTACATTCGCCGAGAACTTGAAATCATCGCCTATCCTTTCAAACCCCTTATTAAAAAAAATCGCTAGAGAAAAGTAATATTAATTAGAATTATTGTATCATTATTGTAATAAATTAGATTGATAATTCTTTATCAGCGATTACCAAAAATAAAATTCGCATAATAAATGTGCATTATTATTGCTTTATCGAATTGTATGATATACACAAATTATGTAAATATAATGAGAATTAAAATATAAGAATATTTTATTATTCTGATTCTTGAAGAGAATTAATCATGTGTTTCATGAGTTGAGAAAGGATTAAACGGTCGATAACAGTTGATCTTGCAATAAGACTCACCCTCGGCAAACGATTGATAAACATCTCACACAGCAACGGCCAAATCGAGGACTTTTGCAACGACAGAGGGTTGCCTTAATACGATCGCGAGATATATAGAGTGTCGCAAAAGAAGGTGAATATGAACAAAGCAACGTTTCATATTCTTCGCGTTCGATCTTTTTTTTTTCTTTAGAAGAAAAGATAGAAACAGTCTTTGTGTATATATGTATGTGTATGCGAATCTGTGCAAACTGACATCAAATGTCGAGCTTTATTAGATTCATTTGAGACTTTTGTTAACATTTTCATCTGTGCTTCTATCTAGATACAATCTTCCCAAATAATATAAACATCTGAAAGATGTCCGATTAAATTAAGATATCTTTCAGATTTTCGTATCATCTGAATTTGCCTTACTAAAGTCATCGTCAATCTAAAGAAGTCCGTCGACAGCAATGGCGACACCTCTTCTTTAATCCCCTCCCCGTAAACCTGAGGAAAATCCTGAGAGAGCAACGTCTCTTGATATTTCAAACATTTTCGATTCTTCCTTCATCCAGATGTGATCTTCATTCTTGTACCGCTGGTTAACATTAGTCGTTTTCATCTTGAATAAGAGATGGCAACGTTTCCGACTCCCATCTGAGAACCTGAGGAAAATTCTGAGCGGTGCGTATCTTGTTCTCGAGTATTTTTAAATCCCGTTCTTCAATACGGATATGATCTTCACTCTTGTTCCACGCTAATGTCCACCGTCCTGACCCTGGACGAGTCCGTGGGCAACAGTTGTAAACGTTCAGGCTCCGCGTCCAGCATGATGATGCACATAAAGCTCTTACCGGACGCCTGATCCCTGGGATAGATGGTCACCGGCGCAAACTTATCCACCGAGCCATCCACGTAGGAACAGAGCTTCCGGTAGACCTGGGGAAAGTGTCTTCTTAAAGAAACTCCTCTGAGCCTGAGCTGCCGCTGGATGTTGTTGAAACTGATTTCGCGGGCCCTCCGCGGTGTGTTCTGACCATTGTTTCCGGGTAACGATGTCAGCACCAGGGTTTCCGGCGAGTCCATCTCCCGAGTGATATTACAGGGCGACGCGGGCATCTGCTGTCTTCTGGCCTGCGGTGATGCCGAAGACGAGGAAACGTGCTTCGTCGCTCCATCGAGTCTGATCTTCGCGCATCGGGATACCAATTGTCGTTCCCACCTAACAGCACCGCTGGTTGGCACCTCGCTGACTACGCACACCGCTACGTAAAGCACCAGTCGAGCCTCTGGATTGTACGTCTTGCAGAGGCGCATCAGTTCGGCGTATAGCTCGGCGCCCATCTCGCCGGGCAGTAAATCCGACCATCGCACGTAGGTGGGCTCGCCAAGGTCGGCGAAGCCGTTGCCGACGAAGCGCTCGGCCGATTGTGTTGATCGATGCTTTGGAATATCAAGATGATATCATGAAATATTAATGAATGATTTAGTATAGGAGAATGATGTTATATTGAACGAGGGGACGCAAATTCGTTCTCACTTTCCTCCGTCATCATTACCGAGAGCCAGAGCGAGAGACGCGTTAAGCACAATAACGTGATAATTATAAGCAAGCCGTATGAGCGTGATGATAGTGATCGGCGTGATATATTTCTTAATAACGCACTTACATATCCCTCCCCCCTTCTATAACCCTAGCAAAAATCTAAATTTCTTTGCCGTTAATTAGCATTTCGCTTGTGTCAGTGGTGGCTTCACAACTTTGTACCTAAAGCAATTGTCTAAAAAAACTAAAGCATTAAAAAGCAACTTGGATAATTACAATATATTGAAATCCATTAGAAAAGAAATCCATATCTAATTAAAATCATAAATAAATATCAAGTTATAATCTACAGAAATAATTAGTTATAGTGAGTAATCTAGTTGTAATACGGAAATAGTGAATTTTAACGATATTAAATACTGATAGAAGAAATAAAAAGATACATATATACATATATATGTATTTGAGATTTAAAATTATATTGTAAAGTGAGTGAGCACTCGTTGAATATAGATTACAATTACGAAAAGCATTGTTACACAATAGGAGTGATTGGATACTATTGTATAATATCATAAATTTGCATAGGAGCGAATTAAATCTGCATCCAACCCACCCCATCGAGCTTGACATCGAGCTGTGCACGTGCCATCAATGTGCACAGAAGCACAAAAAGTCTGTACTCTTTTTTACGCTTTCTGCATTAAAAGCAAAATATGCATATATATTTAAACCTTCTAAAAGAAATGAAACGTTAACCGCTCTATAAATCCTTCGATGAAATTTATAACATTGTGTTTTTATAAGTTCGATAATTTATAATCAAACATCTTCAATCAAATTATACAGAAAGATGGAAACAGATTGCGGGAAAGTGTAAAACAGCGCTATTAAAAAGAGTGACAGACTTGTAGAGAAAGATTACAAGAGAAAAAATACAAGAGAGAGTGTGTCGAGAGTCTTGATGATGATTGTTGCCTTACGATCTCCGTCTCGGCTCGTGTTATTAATCACACGCGCTCGCCTAATCATTCGCGCGATAAGCAGCGAGCGGCTGCTGCGATGACCGGCCACGGCCAAACTTGTCCTCGGATTCGGGGGTGGGTACGACCCCGCGAGGGGCTTTACACGCCCTTAGGCTCGCCTCTGTAAAGGTGTAAAAGAACGTAAGTTCGGCGAAGGAGGGAAGGCATCGAGACACGCGTTATTGCCTCTTCTTGGTGTGTCAGATGACGTTCTCGCATATATCGACAAGTTGATGATTGACTCAGAGGCTGAAGAGTCCAGACTCTCGAGTTAAAAAATAAAATTTCTAATCTTGCGTAATTTTATCTTCTTTGTGGTTTTTAATGATGAAATTAAGATTCTTTAAGAGTATTTAGAGTGACAGAGAGATCTCTTTTGTCAAAGTAATTTTTTTACTTTTGCGGCGATAATAATGTAAGAATGTAGGGATGTATATATACATATGATATGATGTATGTAATTTTGAGTATCATTCGTGCGCGAATCTGGTTCCTCGTTCAAGTTACGGGTGCAGTCTCCGCGAGTGAAAGGTGAGGCGACGAGGCGAAGAGAAACGCAAATTACTGCTTTTACATCGCGAAGCAGAATATACGTATTAATCGATCCCGTGTACATCGAGATGTGTCCCGAAAAACGTATATACACCGCGTATTTTTATTGCGCCAAAAGAGAGGAAAAATAAAATTTTAAAGAAATGAAGTTTCTCTTCTGAAAATACATAATGGGAAAATTTTCTGCGAAAAATCATTTTGACAAAACAAATATTTTAAAAATAAAATAAAATGAAATGGATATCTTGTTGCGACAAATTTGGTCGTCGGCGTAGATAGATCCTTACGAGACACTCGATGCGCACGCGTTCGCTCTTCGGGGTACGAAGAATAGGACGTCGTACGATAGAGATTGATCGTCTCTTGATAGGATCTGCCGATCGGAACGAAAACTTACATAGTCCTCCTACCTTGGAGGTCTTGGCGTAGGTCGCTGCAGCTCTTCCCGGCTTTCGCCTGGCCGACGGCGGCGTTCGTATGGCGATGACGGATGGCGGACGTGGCGGTCACGACGGGTCCTCCCGGACCAGGACTCGGAGTACGCGACGCGGGTGGCAGTCCCAGGAGGGAGTCGAGTACGTCCTCCAGGGTTGTGGAGCCCGGGCTCGGTTTGTTCCGCAGAAGAGCTGCCGTCGCCATCGCCTCGTCCGTATCGCTCTGGCCCGATCCTGATCATCGGTATCATGCGGGGGTAAAGAAGAGACAGAGAGGTTTGCGTCATCCTCTTGGCCTCGAAAGTGTACGTGCGGGCATGTTGTGTATATATGTAAGTATGTATGTATGTATGTATGTAAGTATGTATGTATGTGCGTGTATTTCTTGAAGGTGAAAACGAGAGAGAGAGAAAGATAAGTTTCTCATTTTTTCCATATTAATCCTGTGATTAATAATAAAGCCATCATTTTCTCGTAGTTCTTTTAACGTGATATCGTTAATCTCCTTTTACAAAGCGGGCCATATCTATGTATGATTATGTGTACATCTATATCGGAGTGCAAATCGAATAGTCCTTTCAAACTTTTTATTGGCTTCAGCTTAAGAACATAAAGCGGTCCATTCCTGCCCCATTCCTGCACCTTTATATTAATTTTGTTAATTTTCTCCTTTCCTAAAAAAAGTATTCGTTCCTCGTATCAGGGAGAGAGAGAGATAAGTTCTTTGTAATCTTCATCAATGATAAATGCGACAAATCATATGATATATTAACTGCAGTTGCCTGAACTTGCAGTACAAAAGATAAGTACATTTAGCTAGATAGATCAAGTTTTCAAGATTGCAAATTATCAATATTTAATGTCATCGATTGTGCTTTACGCGCGCATAAGTATGACTATCGAATTATAAATAGAAAGAAAATAACTCTTGACTCGTAGCCAAGAAGGCAACAAAATTCTGCAGCACTTACCGTGACACAAGCAGAACATAGTGGTACACAATGTGATCGAAGAAAAAGATTCGCGCAAAAGTGACCGTGCTATTGTATCGGCTATTTAAGAAAAAAATGCATATACAAACATGCATGATATTTACATGTGTCGCTAAACTTTTGAATATCCAATAAGATTTACTTATTTTTATTTACATTACTTCGTTCATTTACCAATTAAGATTATGAAAATAACCGATTTAATTAAAATCAAAGTATGCATACAAAAGTGAGAGAAAAAAAAATAATGATCGAAAGAAAGACAGAGATGAACGCAGGAGCAAACAAGTTTACGGAGAGACCACAAATAATAATGACAATAATTTATTTTTGTCGCTAAGGGTAATAATTACGCTCTACACAGACAAATAATAATCGTTGACGTGTGTCCGGACAATAAGTACGGAACCGTTCGAAAAAGAAAGAAAGAAAGAGAGACAGGCGGGAGAATCGGGCACGCAGAATCGTCGCGGGACCATCGCTTCCGTTCGTCCCATCATTCAGACGAACAAATTTATTTCTATAATCGCGCAATATACATCAATCACAAAATAAAAGATCTTTAAGGCACAGAGCAAGGGAGAAGACGAGATGCGCGCGGACGATTCTGCGGGCTTCGGGGTGTCGTAATTAAAATAGTAACAATAATAATATACTTAAAAAATAATAATAATGATAATAATAACGATAATGATGATAATAATAATATATCAACGCACTTGCAACACATAATGAACGATGTGCGCGTTTCGCATAATTAAACCTAATTAATACACGTATGTACGCACCTGTACAGATTCTACAGGCGTTAACGTAAAGTGGACAGTTTTACAGTAAACATACACGAATGCAAATAACTACTGACAAAAGTGGACGAGGAGAGGTGAGGGGGAGATAGTTAAATTAATCCGAAATTAATATCTCGCATAATATGGTACTGGGAGAGCGCCTTTTAATCATACTCTTATCAGCAAAAAGAGGAGGGGAGCTCTTCCGTCTCAACAGCTCGCCGGAGTAGAAGTTGCGTTGATCCTCGGCGGCCACCTGATGAACGTCCATCACGCTCCTAGCGGACTCTGCGACAGGTCAGGTCGTTTGTCTTCGTCAGTATGAGATACCAGATAACGCGAACAAAGTTGATAAGAGAAAACGATGAGAGAGGCCAGAGAACGATCGTGAATTAAGACGTTATTTCCAAATCGCCATTCGTATTTTTAGAAAGTAAAGATTCCATAGCTTTTTGTCAAATATCTAATTTACCTGATAAAGAATAAGTTTTTGCTCATTTCTTTAGACAAATCCAAACAACGTTTTGTCAAGGCCAATTCTAGTCGTTATAGTACAGGTATCATCACTTTGTGGATATGCATGATCCAGACATAAGTCTTCTTTTTGTTTTATACAAAACGGTCCATTTCAGGCGCTTTTCGCATAAAATAACAAAAGAAAGGAGATACCGGAAATGGCCTTGACATCATTGCTTAGATTAACATAATTTCCGTTTTTTATCTCAAAATGTGGATGTAATACAATTTGGCTCTTTGCGTGCGTTATTATATTAAAGTGACGATATTAAATGGAAAATGATTGTGTTGATCGATGCTTTGGAATATCAAGATGATATCATGAAATATTAATGAATGATTTAGTATAGGAGAATGATGTTATATTGAACGAGGGGACGCAAATTCGTTCTCACTTTCCTCCGTCATCATTACCGAGAGCCAGAGCGAGAGACGCGTTAAGCACAATAACGTGATAATTATAAGCAAGCCGTATGAGCGTGATGATAGTGATCGGCGTGATATATTTCTTAATAACGCACTTACATATCCCTCCCCCCTTCTATAACCCTAGCAAAAATCTAAATTTCTTTGCCGTTAATTAGCATTTCGCTTGTGTCAGTGGTGGCTTCACAACTTTGTACCTAAAGCAATTGTCTAAAAAAACTAAAGCATTAAAAAGCAACTTGGATAATTACAATATATTGAAATCCATTAGAAAAGAAATCCATATCTAATTAAAATCATAAATAAATATCAAGTTATAATCTACAGAAATAATTAGTTATAGTGAGTAATCTAGTTGTAATACGGAAATAGTGAATTTTAACGATATTAAATACTGATAGAAGAAATAAAAAGATACATATATACATATATATGTATTTGAGATTTAAAATTATATTGTAAAGTGAGTGAGCACTCGTTGAATATAGATTACAATTACGAAAAGCATTGTTACACAATAGGAGTGATTGGATACTATTGTATAATATCATAAATTTGCATAGGAGCGAATTAAATCTGCATCCAACCCACCCCATCGAGCTTGACATCGAGCTGTGCACGTGCCATCAATGTGCACAGAAGCACAAAAAGTCTGTACTCTTTTTTACGCTTTCTGCATTAAAAGCAAAATATGCATATATATTTAAACCTTCTAAAAGAAATGAAACGTTAACCGCTCTATAAATCCTTCGATGAAATTTATAACATTGTGTTTTTATAAGTTCGATAATTTATAATCAAACATCTTCAATCAAATTATACAGAAAGATGGAAACAGATTGCGGGAAAGTGTAAAACAGCGCTATTAAAAAGAGTGACAGACTTGTAGAGAAAGATTACAAGAGAAAAAATACAAGAGAGAGTGTGTCGAGAGTCTTGATGATGATTGTTGCCTTACGATCTCCGTCTCGGCTCGTGTTATTAATCACACGCGCTCGCCTAATCATTCGCGCGATAAGCAGCGAGCGGCTGCTGCGATGACCGGCCACGGCCAAACTTGTCCTCGGATTCGGGGGTGGGTACGACCCCGCGAGGGGCTTTACACGCCCTTAGGCTCGCCTCTGTAAAGGTGTAAAAGAACGTAAGTTCGGCGAAGGAGGGAAAGCATCGAGACACGCGTTATTGCCTCTTCTTGGTGTGTCAGATGACGTTCTCGCATATATCGACAAGTTGATGATTGACTCAGAGGCTGAAGAGTCCAGACTCTCGAGTTAAAAAATAAAATTTCTAATCTTGCGTAATTTTATCTTCTTTGTGGTTTTTAATGATGAAATTAAGATTCTTTAAGAGTATTTAGAGTGACAGAGAGATCTCTTTTGTCAAAGTAATTTTTTTACTTTTGCGGCGATAATAATGTAAGAATGTAGGGATGTATATATACATATGATATGATGTATGTAATTTTGAGTATCATTCGTGCGCGAATCTGGTTCCTCGTTCAAGTTACGGGTGCAGTCTCCGCGAGTGAAAGGTGAGGCGACGAGGCGAAGAGAAACGCAAATTACTGCTTTTACATCGCGAAGCAGAATATACGTATTAATCGATCCCGTGTACATCGAGATGTGTCCCGAAAAACGTATATACACCGCGTATTTTTATTGCGCCAAAAGAGAGGAAAAATAAAATTTTAAAGAAATGAAGTTTCTCTTCTGAAAATACATAATGGGAAAATTTTCTGCGAAAAATCATTTTGACAAAACAAATATTTTAAAAATAAAATAAAATGAAATGGATATCTTGTTGCGACAAATTTGGTCGTCGGCGTAGATAGATCCTTACGAGACACTCGATGCGCACGCGTTCGCTCTTCGGGGTACGAAGAATAGGACGTCGTACGATAGAGATTGATCGTCTCTTGATAGGATCTGCCGATCGGAACGAAAACTTACATAGTCCTCCTACCTTGGAGGTCTTGGCGTAGGTCGCTGCAGCTCTTCCCGGCTTTCGCCTGGCCGACGGCGGCGTTCGTATGGCGATGACGGATGGCGGACGTGGCGGTCACGACGGGTCCTCCCGGACCAGGACTCGGAGTACGCGACGCGGGTGGCAGTCCCAGGAGGGAGTCGAGTACGTCCTCCAGGGTTGTGGAGCCCGGGCTCGGTTTGTTCCGCAGAAGAGCTGCCGTCGCCATCGCCTCGTCCGTATCGCTCTGGCCCGATCCTGATCATCGGTATCATGCGGGGGTAAAGAAGAGACAGAGAGGTTTGCGTCATCCTCTTGGCCTCGAAAGTGTACGTGCGGGCATGTTGTGTATATATGTAAGTATGTATGTATGTATGTATGTAAGTATGTATGTATGTGCGTGTATTTCTTGAAGGTGAAAACGAGAGAGAGAGAAAGATAAGTTTCTCATTTTTTCCATATTAATCCTGTGATTAATAATAAAGCCATCATTTTCTCGTAGTTCTTTTAACGTGATATCGTTAATCTCCTTTTACAAAGCGGGCCATATCTATGTATGATTATGTGTACATCTATATCGGAGTGCAAATCGAATAGTCCTTTCAAACTTTTTATTGGCTTCAGCTTAAGAACATAAAGCGGTCCATTCCTGCCCCATTCCTGCACCTTTATATTAATTTTGTTAATTTTCTCCTTTCCTAAAAAAAGTATTCGTTCCTCGTATCAGGGAGAGAGAGAGATAAGTTCTTTGTAATCTTCATCAATGATAAATGCGACAAATCATATGATATATTAACTGCAGTTGCCTGAACTTGCAGTACAAAAGATAAGTACATTTAGCTAGATAGATCAAGTTTTCAAGATTGCAAATTATCAATATTTAATGTCATCGATTGTGCTTTACGCGCGCATAAGTATGACTATCGAATTATAAATAGAAAGAAAATAACTCTTGACTCGTAGCCAAGAAGGCAACAAAATTCTGCAGCACTTACCGTGACACAAGCAGAACATAGTGGTACACAATGTGATCGAAGAAAAAGATTCGCGCAAAAGTGACCGTGCTATTGTATCGGCTATTTAAGAAAAAAATGCATATACAAACATGCATGATATTTACATGTGTCGCTAAACTTTTGAATATCCAATAAGATTTACTTATTTTTATTTACATTACTTCGTTCATTTACCAATTAAGATTATGAAAATAACCGATTTAATTAAAATCAAAGTATGCATACAAAAGTGAGAGAAAAAAAAATAATGATCGAAAGAAAGACAGAGATGAACGCAGGAGCAAACAAGTTTACGGAGAGACCACAAATAATAATGACAATAATTTATTTTTGTCGCTAAGGATAATAATTACGCTCTACACAGACAAATAATAATCGTTGACGTGTGTCCGGACAATAAGTACGGAACCGTTCGAAAAAGAAAGAAAGAAAGAGAGACAGGCGGGAGAATCGGGCACGCAGAATCGTCGCGGGACCATCGCTTCCGTTCGTCCCATCATTCAGACGAACAAATTTATTTCTATAATCGCGCAATATACATCAATCACAAAATAAAAGATCTTTAAGGCACAGAGCAAGGGAGAAGACGAGATGCGCGCGGACGATTCTGCGGGCTTCGGGGTGTCGTAATTAAAATAGTAACAATAATAATATACTTAAAAAATAATAATAATGATAATAATAACGATAATGATGATAATAATAATATATCAACGCACTTGCAACACATAATGAACGATGTGCGCGTTTCGCATAATTAAACCTAATTAATACACGTATGTACGCACCTGTACAGATTCTACAGGCGTTAACGTAAAGTGGACAGTTTTACAGTAAACATACACGAATGCAAATAACTACTGACAAAAGTGGACGAGGAGAGGTGAGGGGGAGATAGTTAAATTAATCCGAAATTAATATCTCGCATAATATGGTACTGGGAGAGCGCCTTTTAATCATACTCTTATCAGCAAAAAGAGGAGGGGAGCGGAGAGTCGTCAACACGTATCGTAAACAAAGTAAGAAAGTGTACTCTACAAAATTCATCACGATGAGTTCTCTCGCATGAGCGACGACGAGAGTGAGAAGAACGAGTGAATGAGAGACGAGAAAACGCGCGTGGAATGGAGAGAATTTACTATAAAGTTCTCGCTGCGCGAAAAGTCTGCGAAAAGCGCGACTCGAGAATACTTCTTCCATATTTTTGATCCCTTTCTTTTTTCCTCGAGAAATAATGTTGTTGAATGTAAATTTACTCTAGTCTCAGTAAATTCCATAGAGTTAAAATAATCGTTATTAAATATCAACGCAATAAGAGTTTATTTTATCTCCATTATCTTGAGTCTCGTCATTTGATCAAGCCTGAGTGACTATTTAAAAGTTTCACTCTTCTAAGTTATCCTCAATAATAAAAATTTCTAATGAATTAAATCAGATGTATTATTCGCAAAGAATTTTACTATCGGGATTCAGTTTCGAGCGTCAGAAAGCTCTCAAACGGATATACACAGTCTTATCGTCTTATCTGTTTCGCAAGAGAACGAGAGTATACATATATATGTATATGTGGGCTCGAGTCGGCTTTGCAAATTAATTAATCGAATCCTGGAAGCTGGATTAAGCCTCGCGTACTTGCGACTCGCGTGAGCGCGCGACGTAAACTGACGAAAACGAGAACAAAGGGAGATAACGATTATCGATATGTGGGCGTAAGCTCTAATCGCCGTCACGTTGACGATAAAAAGCTCGCAGACCGGAGAAAGAGAGAATTATGAAAGTGCTTCCGGGGATTCTGCGCCTACGTCAACGAGATGAAAGCGCGACGAGCGAACGTCACCCTTTTAAAGGGCGTCTATGCATCATTCTATAGAGTAACTCGTAAAAACGGGATCGTAGATGAATGGAGCCATTTTACGATGAATGCGAGAGAAAGAATTTCTGCGCATAAAAATTTACGCTGTGATTTAATTCCTTAGTTAAACCGTTAATATTAAATATTAATCAATATTAATATTAATATTAATATTAATATTAATATTAATATTGATTAATATCGTTTCTACGCTTCTTTTTCTCGGATTCCGCCAAAAATTAATTACACTGTTTAATACGAGATTCGAATATCGATCTCCGACCGGAGGAGGCTCTCCCCGTGGATCGTCTTCGTCAACTTTGCGCGCTCGGCGACAGCGCGGAATAGTAGCCGAAAGTTTTGCGCGTCCGCTAGGCGAGCAGCAACTCACCGCGGTGATGACGCTGCTGCTGCTGCTGTTGCTGGCGATGCTGATGACGTTGATGATGATGGTGATGATGATGATAGTGAGAGGAGGATGTGGGCGACGGGCCGGCCGAGGACGTCTGATGGTGACGCAAGTCGTCCCGGCTGGGCGTCAGGTCCAGGTAGAGGCCGGAAGCGGCCGAGTCCTGGCAGCTGCAGGACTCGGTGCCGGCCGCGTTGCAGCAGTCACCCGCCTCCTGGTCGGTCGCCAGGCTCATAGGCGTCTCCGGCGAGTCCACGGGCCGCGTGCCGACAAACGAGCTCTCCATCCAGCACAGCTTCACGCTCCCTTCGAGGTACCGACACAAGTGCGATTAGGCCCGGGTCATCAACGACCCTTCGAGGCTACTTTAGACTACTCTTATCGGTTTTCCAATTCTTCTTCAAAAAATCCTACTTTCTCTCGTGTGTATAGAATTTACTTTTAAAATTTTCAAATTTTTTCAAAATGTGCGTCGGTTTTCCGATCCAATATATGTAATGAAATATCTCATAACATTTCGTATTGTATATATATAAAAATATTATATTTCAAAGATTTACAAAAATTGATAGTCGATTTTATAAAGCAAATTGAAGATTCATAATCAAAAAATTTATTCTTCAAATATTTGTGACTAGAGCAAAATTGTTTTGATACGTTCCATTTTTTCTGCAGTTGTAAAAAAAAAACACGTTGCATCTACGAAATTTATTTTCGCACAAAAGATAAAAGCTCAATAAATAACTATACCGTCTTTAAGCGCGCAAAAGCATTCTGAAGAAAGCTATTGTGCATACATATTACATAATACCGTGGGGATGTATAATCTCTTTTGTTAAGGCTCTCTTAAATAATTAGGATCCGGCGATGCGGGCATTAACTTTTATTGACCGCCTTAATCGCCTTAAGTAGCAGAAGCACTATACGGGTATATCGGAATAATAAAGAAAACTAAAAATAATTGCAAATAGATTGACGAGTACGATGATGTAATTATATGTATCTGTAGAAAATAATATATCCAATTTATATTTAAATATTATATAATATTTGTATAAGAATAAATCTTTTATGAGCGCGCGCGCGTGCGTAAATCTATCTTAAAAAGTAATATTAGTATATAAAGCTGACATATATAAAAGTTTTGTTAATACCAAATTGTATGAAAAAAGTGAGAAGTAAGAAGCGAATTATTTTCATTGTCTATATTATTATCAGTGTTAGTATGTGTTAGTGTCACATAAAGTAGTTGAAATACGCAAAATTGCATCAATTCATCAAATTTCTATCAGAAAGATAACAACTTTATCAAAGTTTCAGTGACACGACAGAACTTTATAATTGCGACTTTACGTAAAGTCTTTCACTAATTTCCTTTTATCAATTATTCAATTTATTTCCAATCATATCTCACTAGGAAATGACTCGAATGCGAATTCGCTCGCATTGAGAAGATGAAAAGAGGAGGAAGGCCGGGACGGGGTGTCCGAATTTCAGGGTAATCTATTTCGGTGGCGACGGCTACGAGACACTATCGAAATAGCAACGACTTGTCTCGACATGATATACTCTCGAATCACTGCACAGTGTCGAGATTGTCTAAGACGAGAAGGTCATGATGTGCTACCTCAAATCATTTAGATTTCGAAATACAGTAGTTGTGCGTTTCCAAATTGAAACATAGTTTGTATTACGTTAAAGACTGACATAAAGTCATCATACAATTCATGGCGATTATTATGTTCCAAAATGTTTTTTTTTTTTTT